GGAGGGCCAAGAGATTGTGTTCGTCGGACCTCTACCCATGGACTAACCTGGTATGAGAGACCCTGTGAGCGTCGTGCGGACACTCCCCAGTATAGCTCAATGGGTCGCCGAGGTACACAAACCGCCACACCACGGTAAGGTCCAGTCTCTTCGTGACGGATTTGAACCACAACTGGAAAGAGATTCGGAAAAAGATAAAGAGACAGTTTTGCGGTGTTCCTGAAGAGTAACGCGATGAAATAGGTTCCTATTGCCCTGGAGATGATTATCTCTCACAAGGGCCTGACCGACGTGTAACGTTGCTGTGGACCCCTCCCATTCGCGTGTGACGCTTATTCAGAGAGACTTTTGGGGGCTGATATAGTTGAAATTATCAGGAAGAACTTCAATTCGATGACCAAACAATCCTCAGCAGACGATTGGTCACCAGAGATAGACTTTGAATTACAGGCCTGGAAAAGTCAACTTTTAAGGTGACAGCTATCAGGGCACCCAGGGACTGTCGCTAATTTCAGAAGTGAAGCGAGATACAGTGCTTCTTCCCAATGTCCGTCAGGACCGCTCAATCCACTGGCATTCTATGTTTGATAGAACTTCACGAAACCCTAGTCTGGCAACTATGAATTAAATGTATATCCTATTCAGCAATGAGAAATAAGTGCTCGCACATTGCCATAAAGTTTCACAAAAATTCGAAAGTGCACTCATTTTGCACACCGATTTGGTTTTCACGGGAGACACCTAAATTCCAGCCGAATCTCTCGTTTGTAACATTCTTCAACCGGATCCGCTGCACGGTTAGTGGTTAGTGGCTTTCAACAACCTTAGGAGCAGCGTTCCCTCAGGAAATTATGCTGCGATATCCCGAATACTGTGACAATTGAAACAAGAAGTGGCCCTTGTGTAGCTCACTGAGTCGAGAAATATCATAAACGGGCGATTTAGGTGAGCCTCCTGTGAAAACGCAAATGAGTGTCTTTGTCGAAGTTTGTGCGGTTAGGGTTCAATTCGAACATAAGGTCGACGAAAACTCGGTTTTGCGCCTACCTGGTACGCCCCAAGAAGAGTGAAACCAGTAACGGGCTGTCCAGAAAATTTTGTCCAATATATTCCCGCATCACCAGCTAGCACTGATAAATGTTGTGAGCAAGATGTTCCGGTTTAGCCCAACCATAGGGAGTCATTGTACCGCAAACTTGGTTGGATGTTATCCAAACGCATTGAGTTCGACTGAACAAACAAGCATATTACTGGCATTTTCAAAGCCGACCGATCATTCCACCAGTGCGCACTCAGATATGGGCGGACAATCCATTTTTATCACTGTGGCCCTACAACTCCCACCTAACCCAGGAGCACGGGGTACATGCGCTGTGTGCAGTCAGCGGAGAGTGCTTATAATCAACTGAAAATGTCACAGGGTGGAACTCGCCCAGCAAATGCAGTCGACCCGCGGTTTGAAGGACTAACGTCTCTCATTTGGATGCATTCCATGCACTGGAAGAGGAAAACACATCGCACCAACTGAAG